CATCTTCGAAACTTGACAAAGATGAACGTATAGTTTGGGTTTGTAAATATATAAATGCCATCAGTGTAATGTAATATGTATGTTCCCTTGAGAATTTAAACAGGCTAGGAAGATCCTATTTTTATTAGGTGATTTTAATATTAACCTACTAAATTGTGTAAACCATCTTGCTTCTGAAACATTTCTTAATATGATGAACTCTAATTGTTTATGGCCTTATATTCTCCAACCAACCCGTGTAACTGATAGAACTGCCACCTTAATTCCCAACATTTTTGCTAACACATACAACTTTAATGCTCTTATTGGAAATCTAGTTACTGAGATTTCTCAGTGATCATTTCCCACAGTTTCTGATCATTGAAGACCTTAAAATCAATTATGCCTCCTTAGATTATCACAAACATGATTATTCCCATTTCAGTGAGGAAATGTTTGTTGATGAAGTATCTCACCTTGATTTCTCATCTATCTACAATAGTAATTTAAACACTAATGGCAAGTCTGATCTTTTCTATAACCAAATCGACTCTGTTTGTAAGAAGCATGTACCTTAGAGGAGGCTTTCCAAGAAGGAGGTTAAAATATCGTGCAAACCTTGGATCACTAGAGAAATCCTTGCTAAAATTAAATATAGAGATACTTTAATCAATATTTTCTTTAAATAAGTCTAACATGCAGAAGTTGTGGTCTGGTATTAGGTCAATTTTAAATATTGGTAAATGTCAAAAAAGTTATATAACTTGCATTTTAAATAACAATAAGTCTGTTAATAACCCTTATGACATTTCTAACATCTTTAACAACTTCTTTGCTAATATTGAAAAGACCACGGAGAAGGGAATCTCCCGGGGAAGTCGTAACCCCTTATTCTACCTTAAGGGAAACTACTGAGGATAATTATTTTAATCCCCTATCACTTTAAATGACATTTGGACTTTTATTGGTATGATGGATGCTAGCAAGTCTTCTGGCCCCTACAGTGTACCTGTTATTATTTTGAAAACTATTAGGGACTATATACCCGAGCCTTTTGCATTTTTAGTCAATGATTCCTTTGTTAGTGGTAATTTTCCTGTGAAATTAAGATTAGCGAGGATTACTCATGTTTTTAAGAAAGGCTCCAGATTTGACATAGAAAATTATATACCAATTTCTGTACTTTCTAACTTTAGTAAACTATTTGAAAAAGCTATGTGCCATTGCCTCTACAGTTATTTGGAAGAATTAAAATGACTTTATCCACTTCAGTTTGGTTTCAGAGAAAAATGATCGACTACCCATGTTCTTATATCACTGAATCTATTCGGCAGTCCATAGATAATAATGAATTTGGTTGTGGTATATTTATAGATCTGAAAAAAAGCATTTGATACTGTTAATCATACAATCCTATTAACTAAGTTTAACCATTATGGAATAAGAGGTGCATTATGGAATAAGAT